TCGAGTAACAGTGGAGTGGTGTGCTCCATGTACCCAGCCCCCGTTAGTAATCTGGCTGCCGCGCGTTGTACTGATACATACCTAGAAGAATATACAAATCAGAAAAAGAAAAGCTGGAAAGCAACAATCTAAAGCACATCTAGCACACAGCAGGACTCCCTGAACTCTGTCAAGCTCATCTCAGAACAAGTGTGTTGAGATCTGAGCTGTATATAGGTAGGCAATCAGCTGCTGCCTACTTAAGAACTTTTGTGGGCTCAGCTGAATTCCCCTTTCTTTTGAGCTTCTGAAGATCTTTCTAAAACCATGGGCCTTCTGTATCTCTTATGATTTTTTTTCTTTGATTGGATCCTGTTTTTCCTTTCCCTTATATGACTTAAACACAGGGTTAATAACTTTGCATCTATCTCCTCCTGCTGTGTCTAAAATGATGAGAAGATCTTTAAGAATCTGCTGCTGCTGCTTTTCACAGCATGGATATAAATGTGGTCATCTACCCACTACTGTAAATCAAGATACTGTTAAAGGCATGGCAGCAGAGCCCGGCTGAATAAAGCTGGGAGCTTTCCTTTCTCTCTCAGCAAGTAGACTTTGGCCTATTCCACAATACAGTAATTTTGTGTCCAGCCTCTGCCAGTTTCTTACCCTGAAGACCTTTCTGTGCTTACTTGCTCTGATGTTCTCACTATCTATTCTCTGCTCCACACCAGACTTATGAACCTGGATTGCTTTATGACTGCTCTCCATCCACTTCTCTTATCAAGGATTTTACCATGACCTTCAGTTTGAAGCAAGAGTGGTCCTCCAGCTATTGCTGCACTGCAACTCTCATCTGCTCTAGGTCCTGAAAATGAAAAGGATGATGGGAGTGGAGCTTGGAAAAGATACCCTTTGGATGAGGAAATTCTGGTGCTTAAAGTCCAAGATATAACTTATCAAAGTTCTGTGTGAGGGTTTTAGTCCAAGAACATCTGAAAGCTCGCCAGTTGCTCACTCAGGTAATTTTTGCTGTAGGAACACAACTCCCTTTTAATGCAAGACATTAGGCTTATATCACAATCAGGAAGGACTTGAACTTTCCCCCCATGGATTCTTTGTTACGAAAATGTTAACTTACATGCCCTTTGGTCCAAGATCAGGGATAAATGATAGCTGACTTACACCAATGAATTCCATCTGAAAAGTAACAAAGAAAATAAAAGAATTTTTATATTATTTGAATGTAAGAAAATGATCCTAGTTTTATTAACTGATGCATAGACTATGTACAGAGAAGCACCCTCATTTAAAGCGCTTATTTTTATTGGTGACTCTAAGAGTAATTCTTACAATTGTGCCACAGGACAGTATCTCTCCTTCAGACACAACCTCCCCAGTATACAACCTGCACACCGGTCTAGAAAATGTCATTACATCAAGAATCCAGCACATTTTCCCATTATCAGTGAGTGCTAATTTCAACCAAGGCTAGACCATACTAGCAGTGCCATTCATCCATTTCAAGCATTCAATAGGGACACAGGGAAGCCTTTTTTGCCTGGTTCCATCTAGTTCAGAACTGTTTCCTATGACTGGGAGAGTTTCTGTTACTGATTGCCTAATTATTTTAGCTAGATGAAGAGACTGAATCTGGGACCTTCTACCTAAGAAGCATACCGCTAAGTCATCTTCCCTATTTAACAAAAAATTGGCAGTGCTTTGATACACCAGGATCACTGGATTGTGTGTAGGTGCACATATAATTATATATATGGCACAGAAGCCTTTTAAAAGCAAACTGTAAATACACTAGTCTTAAAGTTCAGCATGAGCCTTAGTCCATCAACTGGAATTAATAGCCATCACACTGATGTGCCACCATATATGGAACTTGCTTCCCAGCGAGATTAGGTCGGCTTCTTCCCTCCTGTCTTTTAGGAAGAAATTGAAATCAAAACCAGGCTTTTGGACAACAGGCACAACAGCACTTTGGATGCGGAATTGGACTGGAGTGGTTATATGGTTGACTATAATGGTTTTCATTGTTTTTAATTTAATGTTCTATCTATTGTTTAAATTGTTGCTATATTGTTGCACTTGTCTATATGTTGCAGCATTGAATTGTTGCCAAGTGTAAGCCATCCTGAGTCCCTCCCCCCTGCTGGGGGGTTGAGAAGGACAGGATAGAAATGCTGGAAATAATAATAAATAATACATACAGAGAAAAGGAGTTTTACAGTACAACTCCCAAGATTAGTGTTGCTAGTTTGAACTATCCTGGGCCTGATATTTCAGCACCAAAACCTGAATTTCATAGAT